AAATTCTACATAACAGATTTGTATTATTTAGATAAATTTTCAAACTTATCAACACTTTTTTTGGAGTCACGTATGATACAAATTATTCTTTCAAAAGATGATGTTGTCCTTTGATGACCTCTCTCTCTCTCTCCCACCAATGTAGACCTGAAAATAACTGCCAGTTGTTTCTAATCCATGACGTATTAAAACTACTAATTTTCATTATGCGTAAAAACTAGAGCATGAAAAGTTCAAACTTTGAAGAAACAAATGGGAAATAAAACTACCTACACGCCTATTGTTGGTTTATGAATGTATATTAAGAATATACATATAGGTACATGTATAACAGTATGCATTTCTTTCCCCAAAAGGGCATCAACTAAACTAATAATCCTATAATTAAGAATTGTTTCGCAAATCGTACTTTATTCTTGCGCGCTTATTACCTAATTCGATCATTATCCTTGTGACGCAAGTCGGGTATAATGGGCAGTTGTCTACACTCAGATATAAACGATTAGCGCAACATTTATTAAAAAATAGTTCAAGGAGCTTTAAGAACATTCATTAAATATCTTTAAGACCGATTAGACGAAGGCACATAATAATACGTACAAAAAAATTGATAGGAATTTTCACATTAATATTTGCAGATGATATAGCAGTATTAGCATCTAGCAAGGAGGACTTAGAGATAGCTTTAAATAAAATGGAAACAGTACTGTATTAAAATAAATAAAAGTAAAACTAAAATACTGGTATGCAAAGAAAGAAAAAGTAGGGAAAGAGCGAATATAAAGATAGGAGATGAAAAATTAGAAGAAGTGGCTGATTTTAGATACCTAGGAAGTCAGATAAGTCAGGATGGAAGGAGTAGTAGGGATATAAAGCAGAGGATAGCGCAGGGTCGTGTCGCCTTTAACAAAAAGAAGTAACTTCTATGCTCGCGAACGGTTAATTTAGAAATTCGAAAAAGGTTGTTAAAGGCGTATGCTTGAAGCACGGCGTTGTACGGGTGCGAAACATGGACAGTGGGTGCGGCGGAAAAGAAAACATTAGAAGCGTTCGAAATGTGGTGTTATAGGCGGATGATAAGGATAACGTGGGTAGAAAAAGTTATGAAGAGGTATTGGAAAGAGAAGAACTCTACGGAAATCAATAAGAAATAGGAGAGATAGGTTGGCAGGACACCTTCTCAGACATGAGGGTTTAGTCAGAGACATACTAGAGGCAGAAACGGGAATTAGGAGGGGTAGAGGTAGACCTAGATTAGATTACTGTTCGCAAATAGTTAAGGATATGGAATGTTCTAGTTTTAGGGAAATGCGAAGTTTAGCCCAGGATAGGAAAGAGTGTAAGTACGTGTCCAACCAATCTTAGGACTGACGACCCTATGATGATGATGATTAATATTTGATGTTAACCACTATTAAATGTCAAAGTGTTTTATATATAAAGTTTTCAAATTATTTACTTATACGTATATCGCTCCAAAAATATGCAACAGAAGTTTACTTTCAAGGACATCTATTAATTCGAATGAGCACAGTCATGATTCTGCTCACTTTGCTCTTTATATTTGCTGGACATCTCTGAAGGACCATTCGCTAATTAATATGTATCATGGACTAAAAAAACCAGGAAGCAAGTAGAAAAGTTTGACAGCCAAGTTTTTGAAGCAGATTAAGTAAAATTTACAACGCAACAAACCATTAACCATGCAATAATTAAATTTTTACATCTCCAGATTTCTCCAAGACGATTTCGATTTTATAGTTACTTACTTCAATAAATTCATGTTTACACAAACAATAAAAACTGTATTTCACCATGAATGTAGTTACAATATATATTAAACATTTTATGACTCAACAAAATTAACAATAATATAATAATTAACAATAACTGACTCACAATCAGTAAAGTAATAACATGCATACATAAAATTTCCTGTTTTTGTAGTTGTAATCACGTTGAGACAATAATTAAACTTTTCTTTTGGACGAACTCATTTAAAATAGATATCCTATTAACTGATTTATTATTAGACCACAAAAAAGAAGGTTTACGTTTAAATCGTTAAAATTTCGCTGATTTTTACGACGAAATTTTATGGTTTTGACACTACGATGTTGTTTATTACGGCATCATGTGCCCAATCAAACAATTAATACAAACAATCGATAAAGACTATGTCAATTAACCTGGTTTAAGCAAACTTGGTCTAAATCTTAAGTTTACTCACGTCTTCAAGTAACGTTAGCAACAACGGTCGTTGCCTTTTTTAAACAAAAAAAAAGGAAAACAAGAGAAATTTTGAAGGTTAGTAACCCATTCAGAAAGGTGCAAATTGGACAATACTGCAAAGAAAACAAAAAATTGTGTATATGAGGTAGACGCAACGCTAAAGCGAAGATACTTTTAAACCTTTCAATAAATATTATATTCTATGTAACATAGGAATACTGTCCTCTGCATAGGCCGCTTCTAGAAGCGGTAGGTATGTTCTATGCTCTCGTCAACTGTCGATGACACCTTTGGCCACTTCTGGCCGCTTCTAGAAGCGGTAGGTATGTTCTATGCTCGCGTCAACTGTCGATGACGCCTTTGACCACTTTTGGCCGCTTCTAGAAGCGGTAGGTATGTTCTATGCTCGCGTCAACTGTCGATGACGCTTTTGACCACTTTTGGCCGCTTCTAGAAGCGGTAGGTATGTTCTATGCTCGCGTCAACTGTCTATGACACCTTTGACCACATGTGGCCTCTTCTAGAAGCGGTAGGTATGTTCTATGCTCGCGTCAACTGTCGATGACACCTTTGGCCACTTCTGACCGCTTCTAGAAGCGGTAGGTATGTTCTATGCTCGCGTCAACTGTCGATGACACCTTTGGCCACATGTGGCCGCTTCTAGAAGCAGTAGGTATGTTCTATGCTCGCGTCAACTGTCGATGACACCTTTGGCCACATGTGGTCTCTTCTAGAAGCGGTAGGTATGTTCTTTGCTCGCGTCGACTGTCGATGACACCTTTGACCACTCCTGGTCGCTTCTAGAAGCAGTAGGTATGTTCTATTTTCGTGTCAACTGTCGACGACACCTTTGGCCGTTTCTAAAAGCAGTAGGTATGTTCTGCGCTCGCCAACTTCATCTGTCGATTACGGGCTGCTGCTGCAGCTTGTGGCCCGAATGGACCATTACTGCCATCGGATTTGCTCCGATAACAACTGAACTGCATACAACACAGGAATACTGTCCATCTACATAGGACCACTTCTAGAGGCAACCAGAAACAGCCAAGTGAGCAAGCAGCCTTAATTCAAACACTGAGCCACTTATAGGCCCCTTGCACCCTTGGCTACTTTTGATGGCCACTAGAAGCGGTAAGTATGTTCTATGCTCGCGATGACGTGCTGTTGGCGCAGCTTGTGGCCCAAATGGACCATTACTGTCGTTGTGTTTGCGCAGATAACATTTGAACTGCATACAGCATAGAAATATGGGGCTGCTTTTAGTGACGACCAGAAGTCGCCAAGTTTGCGAGCGGCCCTAATTCTTCACTGACTTATAGGCCACTCGCCCTGATCACTACTGGAAGCAGGAGTTATGCTTCTTCAACTGTCGATGACGGCTGCTACTGCAGCTTGTGGCCCGTACGAACCGTAACTACAGACCTTTAATTAAATCACTATATTTTGAAAATTCTTTTAATGTTTTACTCAGTTGGTACCTATTACGCCACGCGAATGTTATCCGTTAAGATATTGTACAAAGCATACTCAGGCTTTCAGTTTACATTTTTGATAAGACAGCAGCTAATGTACATAAATAAATATCTTTCTAATTAACAAACAAAAGAAATATTTGAGCCTACAGACCCCAAAACCGCAGCCTTCGTTGTTTCCGTTGTCGATTAAAATTTGTAATGTCTACTCAACAAAGCAAAGAGGATGGCGATGGCGATAAGGAGTAGGTATCGACCTTATTATATGTTATTTGCAAAACTGGGTGGCGTACCGTATTTTGTACCGATAAACAAAAAGGTAAACCTAATTAATAACAATTACGTAGTAGTAGAACAAAAGCGATCAATAATAAATACTTGGAATACCTGGCGCACTTGTCGCTTACCTATTGGATTTTTTGGCACAAGCTTGTTCTATGTCATTCAACTAAAATATTCCTTGTTCCGCCCGTTACCTACCTAAGTCTATTAGCGTATCCTAAAATTAAAAGCTCAACTGCAATATAACGACTAAATGCACGAACCAGTTCTAAATTTGTTTTCTATCTAAACATGGCACTAGTCCAAGAGGAGAACAGACGGACGACCCACGAAGTTCAGAGGTAAATTTAAGCCACTAAAACTCGATTTTTGTGAAACTTTTTAATCGACTTTTTAGAACGTCAACTTACTCATTGATCGAACTTGGTAAATTCCCAAGGTAAATGGAAGAAAATTCCAAATGTAAAATGCGTAGAGGCCCGATAACAACGCATACTTTGTGCCCAGTTTAAAATTACATTGGAATTTTTCAGTATCTAGGTAGTCAGACACTTAACTGCATTTTTGAATAGACAATAAATTATGCGTATAAGTAAAAATATTAACCATTTTTGAGGTGATTCACTGCTGCTTACGCAAAAGCAACGATGATATCTATCCAACAGTGAGCAACCTACACGTGTACCATACGTCAATTCGAACACAAAAACAAATTTGCACTATTTTTGGGAATACATTTCCGAAATTTCGTTCGGAAAATTCTAGAAATTCGATAACGTTCGGCGACTGTTCTCGATACCATGGTAACAGGATTGCATGAACGCATATGCAACGGACAGGATACAAAGGAGTTACATGCAATTACCAACCCCTTCAGCATTATGTCACCACTACGCGCTCGCTCGCAAATCGATACATCATTTTCTGCTTCCCTTTTCCACTTGTTTGTGTCTTCACAAACCCGTCATGTCGCAGTTAAAGAAAGCAAAAGTCATGAGCAATAAATATACTCACCCAGAACAGTGGAGAAAAAAATTAAAATCCAAGTCGATACTGGCTGCGTGAGCGGACGATTACGATCACTTATTATTATTAGGAGGGACACTTGTCGAGCCTGCACATCACATAAGCGTTGAAAACGCGGACAAAAGTAATTTAAACTGTACGAATTATTACGGCAAATTAAACGACGATAACGGCCAGCTATGTGTAGCTATTAATGTTGTAGTTTTGTTATTACGGAACGATGATCACTGTCGATTTCTTTGAGATCGAGTTTAACCGTTGAAACGAGCAAACAACAGCTGCAGCACACAACAAACATACAACACACAAGCGAGAAGAAACGAACAAACGCTGCTAACAACAGCCAACGTGACCGCTCGATAGCAACAAATCGGTAGTAAGAGCCAGTAACAGCACACAGTAAGTTTGTATCGTCACATTAGCCTAGGTAGAGCGGGATCGAGACCGGGGTGGGAGAACGATCGAAACAACACACTCGTTACCTCATCGGCGCAATCGCCGCAACGTCACACCAACGCGCGCGTACGGGTAAATTTAAATTTTCGTTCAATAAAATGTGTTCGTTATTGTTGTTTTACACGAGAACGCTGCAGCAAGCAAACGCAAAAGTAACTGTACAGCGATTCCGTGGAATTATTCTGGAGATGGACGATTAATATCTATAATAAGCGAAAGATAATGGAGCCTTGACCTTTAATAATGTTAATAATCAAATAAAGTAATTATACCTTGACTCAGAATTACTAATGGACTCATTTGAATCACTGATCGTCAATGAACAATTTTTCCACATTACTATTTATCGCACAAAAAAATTAATCACTAATAATGGAATATCGTATTGTGGTTGATGTGAAACCAAAATAATTTGTAACTATGTAACTGAATTATATGTTAGTTATACTTATGAAAGAAGACAAATAACATATTGTTTCCTAAATTATAATAATTGGATGTCTAATTAGTTATCTTATTGGAACAAATGGCCGTGTGATAAGCCAGGGGCCATTAAAAGGATTCAGAAGATGAAACTAAGTGTGAATGCACAAGGAAGCTACTTATAAACACATTTGTTGTGTTGTTCTTTGAAAAAGTAAATAACATAATAATTATGCACCATATCGCGTAAGTAATAAAGAAGTTACTGCCAACAGATGTTCTCTATCTATCGGATAATTGAATTGAAAGCAAAACGATCGCAATCACATAATCCACAAAGAAACTGTCTAGACTTTGACCGTTAACCTCTAAGCAGAAAATGTAAGAAAATTGTGGACTCCCTTTTCCCGAAGTTTTTTATAAAATAATTTGGTAAAGGTCTAGATGATGGGGATGGGGGGATCGAAAGAGAAGGTCTCCCCCACCACTGTACCATAAAAAGTTTGTGGCAGTCTCACCCCCATAAAAAGTTAGAGGGGTTCAATTCTCATTCTCATTCTTAAACAATATTCAAAGGTAAAACTAATGGAAAAATACACAAAAATATTGAGAAAGTTATATAAAACATTATTTAAATATCTTCATCAATAGGGTAGGTTAGGTTAGGTTAGGTTATCGGGTTTTGTTCAAGTGACCACCCTCTTTCCATCCCCCACCTCCATCCGCTTGAAAATATTTTTTTTTTTGAATTTTATTTGAATTATAGTGTATGAAAATTGTCAAAATAATCAACTTTCAACCCCTACAACTTTTTATGGGGCTGAGACCGCAGCAAATTTTTGTGTGGTTTTATTCAGGTGACCACCCTCTTTCGATCCCCCCTATCCCCACCCCCATCTAAATCCCATAACTTTTTATGGGGGATGGGACGGACACGTACAGTGGTGGGGGAGACCTCCTCTTTCGATTCTACCCACCCGCACCCCCTTCGGGGGTGGGGGCCATCATCTAGACATTCACCAAATATTTAAAAAAATGTTTATAATTATTAAAGGAAAATTGTAAAAGGATTCACATTATCAAATGCATTTTGAATTTGTATAGTCGATGACTTAAGACATACATTACGTCATATATCCTTATTAATCGGTTATTATAAACATGTAGGTAGCCAGGTCTACAAGTACCGATATAATTTAAAATGCATTTCGTAATAAAAACGAATAAAACTGGTTGGCATTTACCATATTAAATGAAAGAAATAAAAAGAAACGGTTACCATTTTATAGGCCGTAATGACCATTTTCAAACGTGTATTACCAACGTATTGTAATAGCATGACAGGAAAACGTTTTCAAACATGTAAAAGTGAATAAAGTAATTATTCTTATGGGCATTAATATTAGAAGATTTAAAAGAGAGATTGAAAATTTAGAAGATTTGTATGGGAAAAGTACATTGACGTCTTCTATGCAGCGTGGCGTCGGACGTAGACCTCACCGAAGGACGAAAAGTCAGGATTTCTATTTTTAAGTGAAAACGAAATGATTGATGCAATTTGGAGATTTCTACCGGTGTTTTCTTGTTGTTAAGTACTTAAGGGTGGGGGGGGGGCGAACCCAAAATAATCTAATGTAAACTCTTGATAAGTACAAAAAAGACACTGAAGTTGTCAATTTGGTTGGTTTGTTTCGCAGGATGATCCTTGAAACCTTAAAAGTTAATTTCTAAAATTTTTAAAAATTAATTAGAGACCATTAAACTTTTGCGGGGGTGAAGCCGAGGAGGACAGCCGCAGTTGTTAAAGTACTTGAACACTGACGTCTACAATGAAGAAATTGTCTTTATAAGTTCACAATTTTGTTCCAATTTTAGTGTTAAGAGTGTGAAATTGTCAATTGTTTCGGAGAAAAGCGTAACGGACCTTGCATACTGTTTTCTCAACAACTTTATTTCATTCCAAACCAAATGACACACAAGTAGAACTTGCCGCAAGAAAATGCCTTTTGTTGTTTCACCAGAATAAATTCTGTTATTCTGATTTCGTTGTATCCAATATTAATCATTTCTTTGTCGTTAGAATTTTCAGTAAAATTACTCAAATTTTGTAAGTTTCGTCACTGCTTTGTAAAGCTTTAATAAGTAAGTAAAGTCAATTTAAATATCTGCACTTTCACGAAACTACAAATTTGCCCAACTTAATTTATTTACGAGGCTCAGGTTGCCAAACTGCGTCCAGATAGTAGGTAACATTAAATTTACATGACCTGTGACTTTTTATCGTAGAATTTTAACCAGACGACCGTGACCTTCATTTTTGAAATTATTTATCAACTTTACAGTGTCTGCTGAAAAAATAACCATCGAAATACGTAAAATGTTATCTTTTCTGCAATAATAAAGACAAATTCGTTTAAACCTTAGACTCATGTTGACAGTGGTTGCTACCTACATGCTGTGAGCAGCAGCACTTAAGTGGATGAGGAAGGCACCAAGCCTGCTAAGCCTGGTAGCGATTAGATAGCTATTTTTTTTTTATGTTTTCGTGGAAGAGGGGAAATCTTCAAAAGACATCCAGCCGTCCGTACGACTGGATAGTGTCGGATTCCCGAGGAAGAAGTCCTCGGACCTACCGACTAAAACCCCTCTACCTCAGGCCGTTCTAGGACCAACTGGGGTCCTCTTCAGCCATGTCCCAACGAAGCAGTTATAGAGTCGACCTTGATTTTTTTTTATGTTTTCGTGGAAGAGGGGAAATCTTCAAAAGACATCCAGCCGTCCGTACGACTGGATAGTGTCGGATTCCCGAGGAAGAAGTCCTCGGACCTACCGACTAAAACCCCTCTACCTCAGGCCGTTCTAGGACCAATGAAGGTCCTCTTCAGCCGATTAGATAGCTCCCACCAGAAACCTTTTGGGTTTTATTCATTACCTAGCAATGACTTCGTCCACTGTATACTCATTGAACGTATCTTCAATCCCGAATCAGTGGAGGTCGTGGGGGGTAAACTAAAGAGTAGGAAACACCATGTTAAACAAAATAAGCTGGGGATAACGTCTCTAGGTACGTCATTGATACACAAGAGCAAACTTTCTAATTTGATTTCTTAGCAACACAACATTTTCCTAGTACTGAACAAGTCATTCATATAAGTCAGAGAGCTCTTAAGGGAGGAGATAAATTTCCCACTCCGGAATCCGTCACTAAAGGTGTCAGATGTAGAAACAGAGTAAATAAGGTCAGAGGAAGACTCAGATTAGATTGCTTTTCGCAGATTGTTAGAGATCTGAGATGTTCTACAGTAGTTTTCAGGAAATGAGGACGTTGGCTTAGGATAGGAAGCAGTGAAGATGACGACACTATTATATGGTCATTGATACACAGCACCAAAATTCCTAATTTGATTTCTTATCAACACTACATTTTCCTAGTGCTGAAGTAAGTGATTCATAAATCACAGAGCTCTTGAAGGTGGAGATGAGATGTGTTAGGTGTAGAAACAGGAGTAAAAAAGGCAGAGAAAAACGTAGATTATATTGTTCTTCGCAGATAGTTAGAGATCTGAGAAGTTCTACAGTAGTATTCGGGAAATGGGGATGTTGGCGTTGGATAGGAAGGTGTGAAGATGACGACACTGTGATATGGTCATTGATACACAAAAGTAAACTTTCTAATTTGATTTCTTATCAACACTACATTTTCCTAGTGCTTGTGTAAGTAAGTGATTCATAAATCACAGAGCTCTTGAAGGTGGAGATGAATTTCCCACTCCTGCATTCGTCTTTAGACGTATTAGGTGTAGAAACAGGAGTAAAAAAGGCAGAGGAAGACGCAGATTATATTGCTTTTCGCAGATAGTTAGACATCTGAGAAGTTTTACTGTACTATTCGGAAAATGAGGACGTTGGCATAAGATAGGAAGGAGTGAAGTAAGTCAGAGAGCTCTTGAGGTAGGAGGTGAATTTTTCGCTCCGGGATCCGCCACTAATCGTAACGGATGTAAGAAGAAAGGTGAATAGGGTCAGAGGAAGACGCAGATTAGATTGCTTTTCGCAGATAGCTAGATACCTGAGATGTTCTACAGTAGTTTTTGGGAAATGGGGATACTGATTGAGGATAGAAAGGAGTGGATATGTGATGATTTTAAGATTTGCTTAATTCGCTGTATGTTGCGAATAGTAGGACAATCAATTGTTAGACAAATTGGCGAACAAGGAAGTCGCCATCAAAAACAAAGAATTTAGCTGCTAAAATGTCCCAAATATTTGATTTTCCAACAACGTAAACGAATGCGGCATATATTTTTCTCTTAAACCACTGAATACATTGGAATTCGAAACGGTTGGCGCGTTCTTACTAAAAGTACCTAGGTAGTGCAAGTATAATTTTTTTCTAAAAATACTTGTCGACAGTTCGTACTTCAGCAGACAAATCGTTAACGCGAGCAAAACGTCCGCGTTCTAATGTTATTTTGGGTCATTAAAAGTGTAGAAACAACTTGCAAATTTTCTAAAATTGTTTGATTCTCTTTCATCGCAACATGATAGTTGGGAT